CCAAGAGTTCTGAGCTGAGAGTGTCCACTTCCACACCCTGCTGTAGACATAGCCACAAATGCCAGATGAGACGAGGTGTGTCTGTGCCAACTGGCTAAAACGGGACAGGTAACGAGGCACATGGAGAGACGCTGTTCCATAGCTGGGACATTTCTATGATGTTTATGTGTAAATAGAGACTGTGCATTCATTTTCCAGCCCCTCACACCCAAATAATCGCACAAAAACTATATTAATTATAACACTGTTTGGTCAATGATTCAAGAATATTTCTAACTAGCTCTTACATCTTAAATTAACCCATTTCTATTAATTTGTGTCCCACTATGAGGCTGCGGCCTACCAGTAAGGTTCTAGTATCTTCCCCCTTCTGCAACTACATGGCATCTGCCTGGCTCCACCTTCTTTCTCCCTGCAATGAGTTTAGTTTTCCTACTACCTATATTCTGCTCTGCCATAGGCCAAAGCAGCACCTTTATTAACCAATGGTAACAAAACATACTCACAGCATACAGAGGGTAATCCCACAATACTCATGAGATCACTAACCCATAATAGGAAGTTTATACTATGATCCCTACACTAGACACCAGGAAACCAATGGTCAGAGAGGTCCTATAACTTACCCAAAGTCACCCAGCTTGTAAGGGGTAAAGCCAGGATTTCAACAGGCTGTCTGGAACTACAGAAACCCGGGAAGGAGAGCGGTTTCTCTAGTGGGGTAACTATTTTCACCTTCATAAGCATCTACCTGCCTCAAATACCCAACTGGGCTGATGGAAGGAAAGGCAATCATGGATATACAAATAAGTAGATATGACTATGTCTCAATAAACTTTATTGACAAATCATAAATGAATGGCTGAATTAGGCCCCTGGGCTGTGTTTTGTCTCTTCCTCTTTCAATGATAGTTATATTGCCTCCACTAGTACATGTTACTACCTAAAATATTTCTTACCATACACTAGGTACAAATGCCCATTAATATGACTGATTGCCATTATGGGGCTAATTGTATGTTTGTGCATGCTCTAAATTGTCAAATCCAGTCATCTTTTTCTCCCCAAAGCTATGCTCGTTTCTGAACAGAAGGCTCCTTCATGTAATTCCATCTTGCCAGCATTCGAGAGGGAGAAGTTACAACCAAATCCTCCTCTCCAATGGGTTTGAGTCAATCACTTCAACAATACAACCTGACCTCTGCTTTCAGCCCAGGCAGGCGCAGGCGGCTGTGATGGCTCCCAGGTCACTGCACAGCAAGCCGCTGCCACGCTCCAAGCAGCTATCAGCTCGCAGATTTCAACACGGTGCCTGGGAGTTCTGACGCCAGAATATGCTCCAAACTACCTTCAGCAATTAGCAGTCCTGGAAACGGGGACCAGGCTTGGCGGGCGGGGAGGGGGGCCTCAGGAAGATTGGCAGTCCCCCACAGGGTGGGCCTGGGGTGAGGTGGCAGAAGGGCAGCTCATGAAACTTCCCCGACAGAACCCAGCCTGCTCTCAGAAAACGATACCCTACATCCTCTGACACCCAAAGTCAGCCCACTAGGAACAGGAGCTGACAGAAACTGAGAAGGGGAAAAAAAATCATTTTTAGGTTGAAAAGCAGTGATCAGTCTAGATGAGATCTGTTCTAGTGAACTTTGCCCCCCACCTCCCACCCCCCACCCTCTGCTTTCTGGAAACAAACGCCAACCTAACTGTATTCTTCTCAGAGTTCACGGGGTGAGATGGGAGGGAGCCCACGAAGCAAAGAGCCCTGGGTGTCGGCAGCTTGCGGGGGCTGTAATTCTTTCTCGCAAAGTTACCTTTCCTGTTTCTATGAATTACTCTTACATTCTTGTAAGAGATATGGTTTGAGGTATTTACGGTGCATTCAATTCCACTATCATTGATTTATTGAACGAAAGCAGCTCGGAGGGGATGATGGAAAGGCCCTAATTCCAAAAGCTCTCGCATCTCCCCACCAAGAGAATTCTGTGCCCTGTTGGCCTCCAGCAGATGACCAGCAGAGATAAACAGAGGCCTCTCCGCCCAGCCTTGCCGAGTGTGCGCGCTGATGTGAAGGAATCAATCAGACAAAAGCAGATTATTACAGTGTCTGCAGGAGATCAAACAGCGCTGGCATCCGCACCCACACACGCCTGATTTACAGGCGAGCTGATAAAGTGGCGCGGCTCACTGTCAGGAGAACATGACAAGCCCTCGAGCTCTGTGGATAAATTATTGCTGAAGCCCACGATAACATTTCTCCACCTAGCAACCAAACATAACAGGATGTGGCTTTCAGTCCTAAGAGTCAAATGATACAAAGACGAGGCGCCAGGAGCTTTCCGAGCTCGGGAGGCGTGTGCGGAGATGGGCTTGTGAAGCAGCTCAGGAAATTCACACGAAACCGATGGGTAATTCATAACCGAAGCAGAGGTCACGGCATCTCCTCTCGACGCACGTGGGCACTGAGCAACAGCCTCTCATTAAAGATGGCTCCCGCGCCAGCCTCAAGATGCCTTTCCTAAGCTCTGTGCCAGGCGCCGTGTTGACACTTCCCATGCGGTTATCAAAGGACAGTGGTCAAAAGTAAGGCCACCGCGGCCTCGGTCAGGCTGGTTTGAGAAACATACTAATTGCCAATAGGGCACAAGGAGAAATTGAGTCCTTTTACCTACGGGCATCAAGGAAGCAACCAACATTTGGAAGGAAGGAAGTAACCTTGCCACTGCCCCATGGGAAGGGGGAAAAGTACATGCGAACACTAAGAGACCCATGACTTATCTTAGGGGCTCTGCTGCTTTGATAAACACTGTGACCAAAAGCATCTTGGGGAGGAAAGGGTTTGTTTCAGCCTACAGTTGCTATAGTCCATTGTGAATGGAAGTCAGGGCAGGAACTGAAGCAGAAGCCATGAAGGGACAACCTAGGCAGGCTCGCTCCTTGTGACTTGCTCAGCCTGCTTTCTTCTACAACCCAGGAACACCAGCCCAGGAGTAGCACGGTCCCCAAGGGCTAGACCCTCCCATATCAATCACTATACAAGAAAACGCTCACACCCTTGTAACACACTTGGTTACAGGGTAATCTTATGGAGGCATTTTCTTAACTAAGATCCCCTCTTCTTTCCCACATATGCCTAGGTTTGTATCAAGCTGACAATAAAAAAAGTATAATCTAAAATAAAAGATGCATGACTCCCCCATAAGATGGGCAGGTGTCAAGTATAGTGACATTTCATCTGTATTTTAATAAACGAATCAACCTGAACGTCAAAAAAATCAAAACAGCCAGCCACTGGCTCTTACCTTTACCTCAGTCTAAAATGGTGATCCTGCCTCCAGGACTCTCAGAATGAGATCTGCCTCCTCCCATTTTATATTTCTCTCTAGGGCTGGGATTAAAGGCGTGCACCAGTACTACGGAACACCCATGGTGTGAGGACAGATTCCCAGCATGCCTTGTGCCTCAGAAGACTCCAAGGGCTACACCTCAGCAGCCAGCTTCCTTCCCAGGACCCTTTTTCCTATTAACAAGTTAACCACTGACCCCATTGCAGGACAAAGCTTTCGAAACACTCTGATTTCCTGGGCGTGGATGGCACAACCTGTGTGATGTGGGAGTGATTTCTTATTAATAAAGAAACTGCCTAGGCCCATTTGATAGGCCAACCCTTAGGTAGGCGGAGAAAACAGAACAGGATGCTGGGGAAAAGAAGCTGAGTGAGGAGTCGCCATGATTCTCCCACTCCAGACAGACACAGGTTAAGATCCTCCCTGGTAAGCCAGCTCGTGGGCTACACAGAATATTAGAAATGGTTAGAACAATATGTAAGAGCTAGCCAATAAGAGGCTGGAACTTATGGGCCAGGCAGTGATTAAAAAAATACAGTTTCCGTGTAATTATTTTGGGGCATAACCTAGCCATGCGGGCGGCCGGGTGCCGGGGACACAGCCCTGCTGCTCCTATTTCAACAGAGTGGCGCCCAGACGTGATGGGCTAAATCCACTTAAAAACCTGAGAGAGCTTAATTTAAAACAAACAAAAAAATTATGGGACTGGATGTTTGTGTTCCCGCTTGGGATCGGAGGAGAGTGCTCTGAGACCATGCCGATGGCTCAGCGCTCCCCGCCTGCACCTGGGCAGAAGACAGAATCAGGCTTAGGCAGGCGGAAGAGCATGGCGGATTCCTGCCGCCATACAGAGATGCATTTTCAGACTGCGCACTGCTCTGCCTGTCAGATTTGGCTGTAACTTGGATGAAAAGAGTTTCTGTGCTGCACACTCAGTCTCAGAATTAAACTGCTGATTGCGGCTCCAATGTGGACTGCTGTGTGCCTGGAACTGTGAATGGTTCAGGGGCACCAAATGAGGCTGCTCCATGCTGCACTGTGCTGACCTCAAGCAGGAACTACAGTAATTGCCATAATAACAGTGCAGTTAAGGTTTAGACTGGGCAGGACACAGGCAGTACCGTATTACCTGTACATGGTGCAATTTAAGTTTTTAAGAATTGCTTAACATTTTAAGAAGTGCTCCTGGATAGTAAAAAAAAATTACAGATTCACAATAGGACAGATTCAGACATAAAAGACCTTTATGGATCACATTGTTGGATGAATGTACGTAGGCTTGGGAAAGAGAAGAAAAAGAATATAAAGAATAAAGTTAATGTTTTAAAAAGAAAAAGGGTAAAGTCTTTAAAGAGACAGAATAGAGTAAAGTGATAGAGTAAAAATAAGCCACGTAAAAATGGAAAATTCACAGAGAGTCTGGATTATGTACATTGTGTTTTCTTTAAAATTTTTGACTGTGAAGGAGCTAAGTACAGAGAGACATTTCGTTACATGGGCTGCCAAGCTAAACCAGAATGGATATAAGGGTATTACGATTTCAAAATTTGGATCTAAGGTTATGATGCTTTGGAAAAGTCCTTTTGTTTTTTCAGAGGATGAGACCCTGCGGATTTCTTCTATTCCAATTTGGTATGATAGACCATGTCCTCCTGAAAGGTTGCTGTGAACACCCTCAAAAAATTACTTCACTCAACTGCCAACTGAGATGAACCTGGCCCACAGGTTACACCCTAAACGATCTGATTAACAGCACCCCTATTCAGCAGGAAGCAGTTTGGAGAGAAAAAACTACGCCCATGTTCCCATATATTGTTTATAAATGTTCTTTTACATTTAAAGGGGGATATGATATAGATATGAATAATTTGCATTGGTATGGATTTTAAGGTCAATTTTGTTATATGTATATGTATTTTTGATCTTGATTAAGGTATTGTGATTGTGTAGTTCATTTTAAAATGTAATGTATAAGTAGGAAATATAGGTTGTTAATGGATAATAGTCAAGCTTTTAGTCATGTTAGTTAGATTTTCTAGATATATAGAGATATCTTTCAGTTAGATAGGCATTCTTCATATCTTTCAAAGACTGCAGAATATGGCATTTTAAATGTTTTAATAACTTAGGGCTTTTCATGACAAGGAGACACGTCTGCTCCTGGCAGCACCAGCTACTTCAAAAAGAAGATGGGCATCGAAGAGGATCCTTATGGAGTTTGATAGCCATTTGGGCAAGAAACTGTTCTTGCCTGGACTGTTGCATAAACTGTTCACAGAGAACCCGCAGAGAGAGGACTGCTGAACTTGCCTAAAGATGAGATGGTCTTTCAGGGTTCCTGATTCATGAAAGAGTCTGCGAGACATTCTGCAGGACACAGCAGAAAATGACTGAACTGTCTTTGAAATTCCTGCTTCATAGAAATGTCTCTGGATACCATGGGCCTGTAGGCCGAAGATGGATGCCCCAATGGTACAGAGGAACTTTGGGTGACTGTCCAGGCAGCGAGATGTCTCTGTCATGTCTAGAGTTTTGGACTTCCTGTTTACTTAGGTAGTATTATATCCTTCTGGAGTCTTTGATGGAGTTGAAGAATGAATATAGTTTTCCTTAGTTATGATAAGAGATAAAATAGATATAAATATTGTAACTGTAATTCTTACTTGATAACTGTTTTGTTATATGTAATTTTACTATGTTAAAGTTAAAGCCTTTTTTTTGTTTAAACAGAAAAAGGGGAAATGATGTGGGAGTGATTTCTTATTAATAAAGAAACTGCCTAGGCCCATTTGATAGGCCAACCCTTAGGTAGGCGGAGAAAACAGAACAGGATGCTGGGAAAAAGAAGCTGAGTGAGGAGTCGCCATGATTCTCCCACTCCAGACAGACACAGGTTAAGATCCTCCCTGGTAAGCCAGCTCATGGGCTACACAGAATATTAGAGATGGGTTAGAACAATATGTAAGAGCTAGCCAATAAGAGGCTGGAACTTATGGGCCAGGCAGTGATTAAAAAAATACAGTTTCCATGTAATTATTTTGGGGCATAACCTAGCCATGCGGGCAGCCGGGTGCCGGGAACACAGCCCTGCCGCTCCTATTTCAACACCTGTGGATGCTTCCCAGGGTCCCTTTAGCTACTCCCATGCAGTGTCATCATTGTCCCCACCTCCTGCCCTCCTGGAGAGACTCTCTTGACACCCAGGGCCGGCGACTGACTGGAATTGAAGCATAAGAGCCCCCTTCCTAGGCTCAAGCAGGGTCAACTTCCCAGTCACCGCATACCAGGCTGGTATTGCCCCTGGGGATTCCCCTCAAACCCCAATCTTGCTTACCTTACCCATTCCCCCCTTTCCCTCCTACCTCCTCTGGTCTCCTGGGGCCTACTACTGCTCCTGAAGCCTTGTCTCGGAATGCCCCATCATCAAAACTGGGACTAGTACGTGTCCTGTATGCAGAGCCACAAAGGACTTTGAGCCTTCTGCGCCCTGTGCTGGACTGTCATTCAAACATACAGACCCTCATAGCTCAGTGCAATAGAAGGCTAACTCAGTTTGGGTTTTGTGTAACTCATTTATCCAGCAATCAGTCTGGAGCGCCTGCTCTACTCTGGGTCCTATTCATTCTACAGAAACCAACTTTTACTACTTTGTCCTCAAACACTATCTTTTTTATCTTTTTTTTTTTTATTAAAGATTTCTGTCTCTTCCCCACTGCCGCCTCCCCTTTCCCCAATCACGTCCCCCTCCTTCATCAGCCCAAAGAGCAATCAGGGTTCTCTGCCCTGTGGGAAGTCCAAGGACCACCCTCCTCCATCCAGGTCTAGTAAGGTGAGCATCCAAACTGCCTAGGCTCTCAAACACTATTTTAATAAGGTTATCTTTTGTCAATCAAAAACTTCCTGATGATGCCCCAAAGCCTAGAGAGATTTTTCCCGTCGCCCTAAGTGGTCTCCTTAGAGAGCGGTGTATGTGAGCACATACATGAGTTTGTATATGTTCTCAACAAATCACAATGTAATTTTTAAATTCGTTATCATTTAATTTCAGTGCAAATAAACATAAAGCTAGTTATAGACTCCTTATGCTGACAGCCTTGATATAACTATAAATCCAGAATACGTTTTCAAACCATATTCAAACATAACACCAGAGCCAATAAAACTGAAAATTCTAACGTTGATTTAATGTGACAGGAGATGTGATTTTTTTTCTGAAACAAAAAACGCTGATATTTGGTTTAATAGAAGAAAAACGTAATCTTGAGCTTGTTTGTGGATTTAATCCCTTTCTGCATTTCATCTTCAATAACACTAATGTAAGGAATATCCGGTATCCCCAGCTTGCTGCTCGAAACTGTATTAATCAGCACGGAATTTGATTTTCTAATTCAAGGTAATCAGAAACGAGAGTTGACGAAGAATAAGCCCACTGAGCCGGCTCCAGTGAGGTGTCCTTTGATAACTCAGCAGAATCGCTGTGTCCACTTACAGATTAGGTGAGCAGGGATCAAGGAGATGGCTCTATCAGGAAAGTACGTGTCTAGCAAGCATGAGGACCTGGGTTTGGATTCCCAACACTCATGTCTTGTTTTTATTTTTGTTTAAAAAAAAAAAGCCCAGAGTGTAGCAAGCATGCACCTGTAACCTTGGATCTGGGGTGAAAGAAATGAGAAGAAGATTCCTGGGGCTCGCTAGCCAGTTAGTTTAGACCAACAGATGAGCTGCAGCTAGCCAGCTAGTCTAGATGAATGGACAAGGTCCAGGCCAAGAAAATCCATGTTTCAAAATACCAAGTGGAGATTGATTGAGAAAGATACCGGAAGCCAACCTCTGACCTTTATGCACACACGTGTGCGCGTGTGTGTGCACATGCGCACGTGCATGCACATATACACAATCTAAAGAAAAGATGAGATTAACGTTGGGCAATACCAATCCTCATCAAATGCACATTCAGAATCAGGCAATGTTTCAGGCCAGGTTCTATCAAATGTGACACCAGAGAGAAGAATGTGGGCCCAAGGGTGACCACAGAAAGGAATCTTAGCACAGTAGAGCCCTGAGCATGGGAGCTAGAGAGAAAGAGAGGTCAGTGGGGTGGTCTGTCCCAAGCATGGTCTGCTACAAGCAACTGAAAGTCCAGCAAGACGGTGTTAACGCGGCTCCCAGATCAGTTTCTGAGAGTCAAGGCACCTGGGAGGTCCAGCCCCCAACTCTATCTGTCATCAGTAGATGGATGCTCCCGAAATTAGCACATCTGGCTTGCCCATCCAGACCAGACCTGCCTGGAAGAAACCCCTGGAGAGTCAGAGTTGCTGCATCTGTATGCCTGATGAGATGGCTAACCTTCATTACAAACTTGACACACCTAGAGTCACCTGAAGAGAGTCCCACTGAGGGACTGTCTACACTGGACTGGCCTTTGGGTGTGTCTGTGGAAGGGGAGGCTGTTGTGATTAAGTTAACGACGTGGAAAGACTCAGTCCACTATGGGCGTCATCATTCCCTGGGCAGGGGGTCCTGATACATCTGAGAGCGGAGAAGCCGAGCTGAGCACCATCAGGAAAGCAAGCACATGCGCGTGCATTCGTTTCTCTCTGCTCTTGGTGGTGGGTTTGACATGACGAGCTACTTTGAGACCAGTCACTCTGATGCCCCCAAGGCCATGCTCTGTAACCTGGGACTGTGAGCTAAAATAAAATAAAACCCTCCCCTAACACGCTTTCTATCAGAGTTCTTATCGTAGCAGCAGAAATGAAATTGAGAGACTAGGCCACAAGCAAGAGAAGAGCATGCCAATCAGACAAGAGGCAGGCACTAGCAGATCTGCCCAGGGCCCGATGTTTCTCCAGTGTCTCACCTTTCCAACACTTCAGGGTCCCAACTTCTGGGACCCACTCACTCACAGGGGGCCTGGCATGGCCACCTGCAGGATGCCGCATGCAGATTCTATTTCTACACACAGCTGTGAGGCTGTTACACCAGTGGTTCTCAACCTGTGGGTCGCAACCCTTTAGGGACTTGAATGATCTGTGCGCCAGGGTCAAGTATCAGATATCCTGTATATCAGACATTTACTTTATAACTCATAACAGAAGCAAAATTCCAGTTATGAAGTAGCAACAGAATAATTTAAGCGCTGGGGGTCACCACGATGTGAGGAGCTGTGTTAAAAGGTTGAAGCGTCGGGAAGGTTGAGAACCGCTGCTTTACTCTTTCAGCTGCTGGGGTGAGGACCACCCAAGAATCTATATCTATTAGGCTGCCTTTCCACAACACAAAGCTTTATAAGGACAATGGGTATTCTTTTTCAATTAAAAGTTAATTACCATAGAGCTTGTCACAGCCCCTGGCAATGGTGTTAGGAACGCTCACCTGCACCCCGGGGTGCCACAGGGTGGCACTCAGAGAAACAGCCTGCTTCATGAGTCTAGGGACTCTGAATCCAAGAGCTTCTGAAGGACCCTGTGAGGTCCCTGCTCAGATATCGGGAAAGGAAGGGGATCATGGGAGGCCAGGGTGTGGAGACACTTTGAGAAGCCACGGGCAGATAATACACAGTGTATCCACCAGCACGCATCAGACACTCAAACACATGCCCGGCACACACAGGCTACACACAGGCAGACACAGATACACATACAGGCGAGCAGACAGGCTTACAGGCACACATACACACACACACAAGCAGGTTAGCCAAGGCAAAGGGTCCCAGCCTCTCAAGGCCGTAGCCACAGAAAATCCACGGAAGGTGACATCCTGCCTGAGGCTGACACACGACAGGTCACAGCACTGTCGACTTGGGTTTCCCAGACATCTGATTTGATGCTGACTCACAGCTCCCGAGATGTCCACCCTCGGCCATGTTTCCACTGCCTCACACTGGATGCCACATCAGAACCATGTCGTCTAAACATAAACCGGCCCTTCCTACCTTCTGTTCCCAACACACTCGCTCTGCCTTCGTGAAAAGTTTAAAATGAGCTACATCTTCTCCCTGACCCTCACAAATTCCCTGCTCTTATGACTGCCTACCTGGGGGGACTGTCTCTGTGGGACCTTGACTTCCCCCATGGTGCACTATGACTGCCCGGTGGGGCCCTATGACTGTCCCCACGGGGCCCTATGACTGCCCACGTGGGATCCTAGGACTGCCCCCATGGGGCCCTATGACTGTCCGCGTGGGGCTCTGCCCTCTTCTAGGTTCAGCTCCTGATGCCACCATCAGTCACTTCCCCAGAAAGAGCATCTTAGGGGAGGAAGGCCCGCTATGGCTTTAACATTACAAAAGGCACGGTCTACCATAGCAGAGAAGACACTGCAGCAGGAGCATGAGGCTGGCCCGGAAGGAAGGAAGGAAGGAAGGGAGGGAGGGAGGGAGGGAGGGAGGGAGG